CCCTGGTGAGCCTGGAAGGATTTGACCAGAGCGATTCATGCAGTGAAGGGGCTGGAGCTGCTGACTGGGACATGGCCTTGTAGTGGTTGCATCTGGTCACACAACTTAGGGGGTCAGCATGGGCCCTGGTGAGGGCTGGAGCCCATTTGGGAACTGGGGCTCACAGGGTTAAGACCAGACAGGCATGAGCATTGATTATGGATCCAAACGAGAAAATACTTGACAACTTCTATATTTGCTCCAAGTAACATGACGTTACCTATTGGTTGTTTAGTTGTGAGGATTTTGGTCGTCTTTACCTTGAGTTGTAATCCACACTGAAATTTGCAGTCGTTGATATTCATCAAATCGTCACTTTTCAGTAAACAAGGTTATATCATCTGCTTATCACAGGTTGTATTAAGACTTCTTCTGATCCTGTTGCCATATTCTTCATATAATCCAGCTTCACTGGTGATTTGCTCAACATACAGATTGATTAAGTATGGTGAGAGGATACAACCATGACACACAACCTTTGCTGATTTTAAACCATGCAGTATTTCCTTGTTCTGTTCACACAACTGCCTTTTAATCCAGGTACAGGTTCCAAAAGAGCACAATAAGTGTTCTGGAATTCCCAGTCATCTCAGAGCTGCCCAGAGTTTGTTATGCTCCACACAGTTCGATGCCTTGGCATAGTCAATAAAACATCTTTCTAGTATTCCCTGCTTTGAGAATGTCCATCTAATATAAGCTCCCTGTCAATGTATTGCTGTAACCAATGTTGGATGATCTTCAGCAAAATTTTACTTGCCTGTGATATCAATGATATTCTATAATTTGAGCATTCTGTTGGGTTACCATTTTTTGGAATGTGTACAAATATAGATCTCTCCCAGTCACTTGACCAAGTAGCTGTCTTTCAAATTCATCAACTTGTGGAAACATTTCAATGACTATTACATCAATTCCTAGAGCCTTATTTGTGCCTGATGATTTCAGTGCAGATAGAACTTCTTCCTTCAATATCATTGTTTCTTGCTCATATGCAACCTCCTGAAATAGTGTAATGTCAATTAGTTCTTTCTGGTACTGTGACACTGTGTATTTCCATCTTCTTTTGATGCTTCCTTCACCATTCAGTATTTTGCCTATAGAATTTTTCAGTATTGCAACTCGAGGCTTAAATTTTTTCTTGTGTTCTGTCCATTTAAGAAAGGCTGAGAATGATCTTCCTTTTGGTTTTCTAACTAGGTCTTTGCACATTTCAGTATAATATTTTACTTTGTCTTCTTGAACTGCCCTTTGAAATCTTCTGATCAGCTGTTTGACATTTCTGTTCAGCTCTTTGATAACATTATTTCTTCCATAAATGTTAGCTACTCTACAATTAAGAGCAAGTTTCAGAGTTTCTTCTATCATCCACACTGATTTTTTCTTTCTTTCCTGTCTTTTTAATGACCTTTTGCTTTCTTCATGAGTGATATCCTTGATGTCCTTCCACAGCTCAACAGGTTTTTTGTCATTAGTGTTCAGTGCAGTACATCAGTTCTTGAGATGTTCTCAAAATTCACAAGGCTGTATTTTGTCTCTCATGGGCTTGTTTTACTTTTCTTCAAATTTCACTTTAAATTGAACTCAGGTATGAGCAGCTGATAGTATGTTCTACAGTCAACTCTGGCTTAGTTTTAGCTGCTGCTGTTTAGTGTCTCCATTGTCTCGCCCCAGAGAGGTAGTTCTTTGATTTCTATGTGAAGTCCATGTGTACTGTCCCTGTTTTTGTGTTGTTGAAAAAAAGGTATTTGCTATGCTTGATACAATTGATATATGGAATGTTATAAGAGCTGTAAGAGCCTCCAATAAAATGATTTATAAATATACAAATAAAGTATTGGTCTTTTAGAATTCTACCACGTGATCTTCAACTTCATTTCTATCACCAGTACCATATTTTCAGCTACTCTTCCTTCCTCTTCATTTCCAACTTTTGTATTCCAACCACCAATAATTATCAGTGCATCCTGGGTACATGTGTGATCAGTTTCAGCCTGAAGACATTAGTAGAATTCTTCAATTTAGTCATCACTACCTCTGGTCATCCATGCATAAATTTGAGTAATAGTTGTATTGATTGGATTTCCTTGAAAGTGAATAGATACTATCCTATCACACAGCATTGATACTTCAAGAGAGATCTTGAAATGTCCTTTTTGACAGTGAATGCAGTGCCATTCCTCTTGATGATGTCATTTCCAGCATAGTAAACCATATGATTTTTTTGTTCAATATGGCCAGTATCAATCCATTTCAGCATCATCTAATGCCTTGAATATAGATCTTTATGTATTCTGTTTCATTTTTGATGGCTTGCAGTTTTCATTCATGTCCTTTTTAAGTTTCAGCTTTTACTTCAAGATACCTGTTGCATTTAGATTTTGTTCTGTTTTAAAGTTACACTGGAAGCATCTCAAGTGCTTACTAGCCATCTATGAATACTATATTGGACAGTGCAGATAGGGAACGTCTCTAGTACTGCAGAGCGCTCTATGTTGCATAGCTCTTCTCTTTTATTTTTAGCCTCATAACTGCACGGTGTTGCTTTGTGAAAACCTAGCGCAGTGTCTTCATTCCGTCTTTGAGGGACCATTGGGTTGTGTTTGATAGTTAGTTGGGTTTTTTTAATCATTTTATTAGGGGATCATACAACTCATCACAATCCATACGTACATCAATTGTGTAAAGCACATTTGTACATTATTGCCCTCATCATTCTCAAAACATTTGCTCTCCACCTAAGCCCCTGGCATTAGCTCATTTTTTCCCCTCCCTTCCTGCTTCCCCCTCCCTCATGAACCCTTGATAATTTATAAATTATTGTTTTGTCATTTCTTGCACTGTCTGATGTCTCCCTTCACCCACTTTTCTGTTGTCCGTCCCCCAGGGAGAAGGTTTTTTGTAGATCCTTGTAATTGGTTCCCCCTTTCCAACCCACCCTCCCTCCACGATAGTTCTTATCTTTTGTTACTAAAAAATCATTTGTGTTTTATTTTTGTAAAAAAACAAAACAATATGACCAAGAAGGCTTATTTCAAGAGAGAGATGGCATATTATGATATTAATTGAAGATAGTTTTTAGGTATACCTGAAAGCTAGGAATTAATGTAGTGATGCTATAATCCTTATAAAACCATTAAACTGGTGTTTAAGTATATTTTCTCCTTAAAAATCACTTGATCAGCTAATTTTGCACAAAAAGAAATTCCTAGTAAATACCAGCTATATTTTTAATCTGGTAAATTTTCTTTTTTTTTTTTTCCTTCTGAGATAAATGAAGGCCATTTCTGTTAGCAAACACTTAAAAAATATAGTTAAAAACCATAATAAAATAAAAAATATATATATACAGTTTAAATACCCCACTAAATACAGTTTCATTGTTAGCTGACATTGAATTAACTGCAGCTCATGGAATTCAACTTATTCAACAGAACAAAATGTTGCCTAGTGTGGAGACATCCTTATAACTACCAGCATCTTAGAGTCTATTGTGGTAGTTACCATTCTAGTGCACCTCACTGAGGGGCTCAAGGCCCTCTACTTCACTACAAATGATGCCCCAGCAATTGATCCCTCCCGAGGACATGTCCAGAGCAAGCAAGTTGGATAATGTTCTGTTATAATTCTTAAGGTTTTAATTGACTAATTTTCAGAGGTAGATCACCAGACCTGTATAATAACTCTGTTGTAATCTGGAAGCTTTGCTGAAAGCCGTCTGCCAAGGGTGACCTTGCTGGTATTTGAAATACTGATGATGTAGCTTCCGGTATCATAGCAACATGGAAGCCACCACACGGCACACTGACATACCCCCCACTAAAATACAACTGATAGGTAGATTTAGATTACGAGGTGGACAAAGCATGACTTCTTTTCCTTATCA